ATGTGGTTTTTTGGGTCCCCCCCCCCCCCCCCCTTTTTTTTTTTCACTTGGCTAATGCAGGAGATGAACATACTTTAGTTTGGGTCTGAAAGCTCTGTTTTCAGGATCCACAAGCTCACCGTTGCTTTTCTTTCTTTCTTGATTGGATATTTTGCTGTAAGTTCTTCTTCCTTGGGTTGTTATCACAAGCAATGGACTTGTATAACAGCCAAAATAAGGACTGGATCTGAAAATCAGCTTTTACAGTGAAAAAAATGAACATTCTGAAAAACTCGTTTTAGATTAAACACAACGGTGTTTTTTTTCCAGGAAGATAATTTTAAGCAGTGATTAAAAAAACCCCACTGTAAAGCATGACAGCAGTTAGCATAGCATATAAACGATAGATTTAGGAGGTGTTTCACAATTTTTAATGTTGTGAAATTTTTACTTTGTATCATATTTCCAGAGGAAAAATATTTAAAGGTCGTCTTGTCCTCCAGAGTGTTCCTTGGCTGTTGAATAAACCCCCTGGTTTAGGTGGCAGGGATGATAATAGTGGTGCATTTATCATCCATTTGAAAAAAAAAAAAAACCCAAATAACACATGCTGAATTAATCCAGTTTACGGTCTGTAGAAGGTGATGCACATCAAATATGCTATAGAACTGGTTTTGGCAATGATTGCTACCTGCACGTTACTAGATTAAATATTTTTATTTAAATATTTTTGTTTATCAGACTAGATTTAAAAAACTCTTCTATTTCTTTGGTAAAGCTGGTTTATGATGTTTCTTTATCATTATCATGTATCTTTAATTAGAGTGAAATGTTTAGGATAAGACTAAGTTGCCTGAAAGTGGAAGCTGTGAAAAGATGATGTCTAGGAGTTATTTAGTGCAGTCTATACAGGCTGAGGAAAGAACACAGCTTCTTTGAAAAGCTCTTAGGAAGATCTCCAGACCCTTTGGTTAGTGGTTCTGGAATAAGCACGAAATGCTGACAACGGAAAGCAAAACCATAATTGTGCTTATGTGACAGTGCCAAGTAATTTGAACATTCAAAGTGAGTCAGGCGCAGGCCTCTTCATCCGTATTACGTGACTTCTTTAAACATTTAAAGATGATTTCTCTTTTTGAAGCATAAAAATATCTTGCAATTATTCTGATATCTGTTAGGAAGTATTAAAAACCTTTCAGATTATTTTGGAAGCAGCAGACAAACAATTCTGAACTTGAAATGGGAAATTTTGCACTGTCTTACTAAGAAGGTGGTTTTTGCTTACCACAGAAACCATTTTATTAAGGGTTTTCTGACAGATCTTTCTCATTGTTCTACCTAATTTACTCTTCAACATGATGTCACCAAGGAAAATGCTTCTTCAGCTCTTGCCTGTGTTCTGTCCACCAATCTTTTTGGTTCTCTTCTAGAAATCTAAGAATGTATCTTTTCCTTTTGGTACAATTAGACTTTGGTAATACTTGTAGTTTCATGGGTTTATGCACTTCGACCTGAATCTGTGATAACCGCGTAGCAGATGATGAGGTTTGTAAGCTTTTTGTTGTAGCAGTTGCATAACTTGTCGAAGTTAGCACAGTCGTACCTGTTGTTTTCTTTTTTCCAAAGCGAAATGATCGAGCTCAGCAGGCTGATCAGCCGTGGTCACCATCCTCTGGTCATCCCTGGTGTCCTTTTCTAATCCAGCTGTCACCTTTTGGAGGTCCTTTTGTACATCTTCACGGGCAGCTTTAGTTTTTGACTGACCCAGTTAAGCAACTTCAAACAGCCTTTTCTTCCAAAACCCTAAAGCTCATCCTTTGTCCCTGTCTCCAGAAGATGTTGTGCAACACAGATCTCAGTCCAGATATTTCCCTTTCCTCTTCATTTCCCTCTGTTGTGAAAACTCTCCTACCTTTGAATTGCTTTTTGTTCACAAGAAGGTATTTTACAACAGCATGATTTTTACTTTGCAGCCTTTGTGATACTGGTATTTCATGTCCACTGAGGCAACTGCAAGATGGAGAAAATTCTTCTTAGCTGCCTATTTTGTAAGATAGCTGCTTTCAGATGCACTCCCAGTCCTTAGCATTTTTTGTGTTATTTAGAAATCCAGATACCTCAAGTCCATCACCGCTTCTCAGCAGGATGGAGGCTGTAGTGTTGCTACCTATGGAACTGGTGGAAAGCAAAAACTTTTGGTTTTTGGTCTTTTTTTCCACTTGTTTGCCACATATACTTTGAATCCTCCCAAGGAAAATACTGATTATTCCCTTTTCTTTGGAAACACTCTCTACTACCTCTTGTTTTTTCTTTATATTATGTGATTTTTGTTATTATTTAGAGAAAATAATTTGTTGTTGACAGGTAAAGGAACTGTGTGTGTTTTTCAGTGTATTTACACCAATACTCCTTACGCCAGCCCAACCGCACGGTGCTGCTCAGGCTGGTGGGACGAGGGCTCCTGTCCACAGGAGAGCTGAATGAGCAGGAGAGCTCCTGTCACAAATTTATGAGTAATGGGCCCTCTCGATTATAGACACACAGAGAGGTCACAGCCCCTGCTTCAGCCAACGGCAATGGAAACCGTAAATAGAGCTTCCTGCTGCACTGCATACAGACTTCTTTTGTAATAAGCTTCTGTGCAGCCATTAATACTTTGTGTAGCAAAACACTAATATTTTTCCATTTTGCCTTATTTGAATAGGATAAATAAACAGGGGCTAGGATAAATAAACAGGGAATTCAGGAGTTCTAGTTAATAGATGCTTTTTGAATGTGTCTCTTTATCTGAAAAAATACAGAAGATTGTGTTTAGTTCATATGCAGATTTATTTCTAATTTGTACCACTGTGTGTGTCTTATAAAACAATTCCTGTATCAGTAAGTTGGTATTTTCTCTTAGGAGGTGTATTTTTGTTTCCTAACCTTCCTTTGTTTCTGTTAACGTTCTGCAGGTGCTTGTCAGTGAGGACTCTGATAGCGACGGTATTGTGGCCCACTTCCCTGCACACGAAAAGCCCATTTGCTGCATGGCTTTTAACCCCAGTGGTAAGTTATTTTAATGTCTTAATGTGATAGCTGTGAACAAGATGAAGACAGTAAATGATCATAGGGATGTGTTCCATTGCTTTGGAGGAATTGCAGATACCATTATGATACGTGCGAGTATCTACTCACTGCTGCCGAGACTTCTGAGCTGTTCTGTTGAGTGTTGAGTGTGTCCTACACTGGTTAATTTGCCTTTTCTGAGAATTTCAAACTTAAGCAACTGTTATACTGTGGTATATATGAGAAGATTCAGTCTACCACTTCTGATGTAGCAGAAGTACTAAGGAATTCGTTTCTGTTGGGTGTTCTGCCAGCCCCAGGTGTCCAGATGTGCTGATACACAGGTATCCAGACAATCAGCACATGTATGTATGGTACTCCTCCATAAATATGAAAATAAAATTAATCTTTTCACTGGCATGGTTTTTAAAGTAACTTACGCTACCATTGTGTGTTTTGTTGATGAAGAGTTTGCAATTCTACCCTCTCTGCTGGGTGAAATCAACTATAATCTGAAAACTTCAAGAAAGTCCCCAGAAGTACCTATTCCTCTCCTTCCTCTTTATAAATGAACAATGACTGTGGGCAGCAGAGATAACTGCAGATCTTGTCTGTTAATAAATCTTATTAATCTGACAATTAACATGTTTACTATTCTATCTATAGACAGCAAAAAAAAAAGGGTTTGGTTGGTGGCAGTAGTTGTCAGTGGAATGGCCAGGGGATCAACAGCTTCCACCTGCCAAAATTTACAGTTTCTAAAATGTAGTAACGGCCATGGAGATCTTGGGGATAAAGTCATATTTCAAAGAATAAAACTAGATGTCTGTCATCTGTGTTTTCACTTTTAGTGACCAGTTGGTCTTATTCTGACATCCCATCTGTTATGTCAGAAGTCTTTAATAGTGGTGTGCAGTTCACAGCATTTTCAGTGGGAGCTTTTGACATTAAAAAAATATTCTCGTCTGGCTGAATTTTCTTCTGATACTTAAGAGAATTTTTTGTGGAACTCTGCATTTCACTGAGTCAGCTATGCTGATTACGGAATAGTAATATTTTTGCTTTGTGTTCTGGTAGAAAGATAGGACCTATTGTTGAGCAATGCTAATTAAGTGAAATAAATAGAATCACAGAGTCATTAAGATCAACCCAACACCACCTAACTCACTAAATCATGTCCCTAAGCACCATATCTACACGTATAGAATCATGCAATCAATACAGCTGCTGAAATTAGAATGCTTTATAGATATTAATTAAATGCCTTCTTAAGACAATTTTTATGATTATATAAATTTAAGGGAAACAGTGTTTATGCAAAAGTAAATCAACTTGTTAATTTTTAAATTGAAGGATATATTTGCATATTATTGGATTACTTGTATTGTAACCAAGTTGTTCTGGTTTGCTCAGGTACTGAAATTCCACTCCTTTGAATAGGACGTGGCAGGCTCTTACCTGCGCAATAAGATACTTAATGGCAAAATGCTTTTTCTAACTGGTGTTATTGTTGACTGATTGCAAATAATGTATGTTATGAGACATCTGCAGGAGGGATGATTCACAGCAAAGCATTAAGTCATATCGTGTGTTCGGGGACAGCAGTACCAAAGCAATTGAAAACTGTTACCTCAGCTGCTTACGGTGCGAAGACAGCGCTTAACACAAAGGTTCCGAGTTCTTTATTTAATGTCAAGGCACAGTTTTGGTCTGAAGCCAGTGTTGTAAGGAACATCATCTTAATCCATTCTGTAGTGGTGTATTGCCAATCACCCTGATCTCATTACAGAGCAGAACCAAACAAGAGGTGGCTCTTGGTCCTGTCTTCATCTGTTGGCTGGTTGTAGTGAAAAACTATTTCACTGAGTAGTGATACCGCACCCCAGCACAGCAACCGCAGACTGTTGCGATAAAGGCAAGCAGGAACGCTGATCTGTTTCAGTGAACTGTTGTATTCTCTATGGCTGACCAAATAGCTTAATTTCATCATGTCTCATCCCAAGGGCCCATGAGCTTCATAGGTATTCAGGTCTGTAAAAACCTACAGGATAGTGTTTGGGGAAAAAAAACAAAATAATTAAAGGACAAGCAGGGGAGTTTCTGCATAGCATTTCATTGCGCAGTGTGGACATTTCTGTAGTGACTTGTGCTGGCATTACATCTACTTTTTGTTTATATTTAAGGCAAATCTGTTGATTTTTTTTTTTCTTTTCAATTTTTGAGGTATTAAGGAAAAGAAGAAACTTGGCACACAGCTTTTTTATATTAGATCTATGGCTACTGTGAAAATCTGGTTGAATAATAAAATAACAAACTTGAAATATCATTCCGGAGTATACTTAGGGGGCACCATAGTTGTGTTTTTTCTTTTTTCAGTCCTGCCTAGCATGTCCCTGTATACCTCTTCCAGACCCTTATGTTAATAAAAGCTTCCTTCTGCGTCAGTTGATTTTAGACTGAGACTTTTACAGTCTCCCTAAGACATACAGCAAATCATGTTTAACAGGAAGGAAAAAAAAAAAAGGCATAAAGGAGAAAAACTGCAGTTCCTGGTAGTTTAGGTTTTCTGTGTTTTTCCTGTGTACATCAAATTTTAGTTCTCAAAAAAAGTTGTGATAGTTTACTGTGGGGAGTGGGTTGCTGGTTTTTTTGGGAGGGTGGATGGAGGTGAGGGTTTGTACTGCAGCTGAAAATTTGCGGCCGGGCGTCTCATCCACAAAATCCCTTAGTCCTATAGAATTCCTAAAAGCTGGTCCCTGCATATATTGTTATTGCTTCTCTGCTTAACGTTTTTCATTTTAATAGGTACGATATGTAGTAGTTCAATAAAAGTGAAAAAGAACTGGTCCTCCTTTGCCATTTGTTGCCGATTGACTCTTTGGGAAGCAGACATGAAATGCTAACTGGGTCCTTATTCTAGTGGTAAAAATAAAAATTATGATGTGAGCTTAATCCGTTCCCTTGGCCAGTTGTGTTGTCAGCTTTGGCCGGTGGGCACACTTCCTATGTAATGTTCTGCTTTTGGCAGTGTGCTTCGTAAATCCCTTTCCAAGTTTCAAGTTCAGGTGACTTGGCACTGTTACTTGTTTTCTTTTTTCCTTTTTTAATTGCTAGAATGTGAGTATTTCATGTATCCTTTTCTTCCATAGGTAAGCGACACAGTTTTTTCTATACATTTTATTATGTCATACGTACATATAGACCATGATTTAGTTGTATAATGCTATGTGTACCCCTGGTTGCTTTGGTGACTTACATGAAGATAAGGTCCCTCTTCTGAAGCACTCCTGTTTTGATTTTTAGACGTGCATCCAATATTGAATAAATTAAATACATGTTCTAGTAATAATTTAGCATTGCCAAGTGCTGTGGAAGAGATGCTGTATATTAACAGGAAAAAAAGCATCTGATTTTGCCGTATATTCCCTTCATAAGTATTGCATACACATGGTATTTATTTATTTTTTACCACAACCCCTTCCCACGGGGCGATGCTTGCACCACAGCATGCGGCGAGGATCCTCCCGTGTAAGAGGAAGGAGCGGTGGGACCCCGGCGCAGGTGATGCCCAGAAATGGGCTCCTGCCAGCGGAGTAATTCCCGCAGCTTGGAAAGGGCCAACAAGCCGGATGAATTTTGCAGGGAGCTGCCATTGATAGACCATAGGCTGGGCGCTGCAGATACTCTGAGTCTTTTGAACAGGTGTCTCTAGCACTGCTTCGCAGTTCCTTGGGAGAATGATGATTTTTCTTCAACCTAATGGGAAATGGTCCATGTCTCAGAATTAAGTCACATCTCGTAAGCATTCAGAAACCATCGTGAGGGAGTTGAGCTGTGTTCTGAGAATATTTAGTTCATATTTGAACACTCCTCTGATCGTCTGCGCAAAGCAGCTGCTGCAGGCAGAGTTAAGAGCCCCGTGGCCACTCTTTCAGTTCTGAACAAAGGAAGGCAGCTTCTAACTTCTAGGAAAACTTTAAGCCTTTTATTAAAACTTTTCAAGATGAGAATAAATAATACAAGGAAGTGAAGTAATATTATTAGACTGGGGACGGTATTAATGTACCTCTTGGCGTGTGTATTGCTGTAGTGGAAACAAGAGGTTTGTGCTTACAAAGAGACCCTGAGAACAGTTACTTTAATTCCCTTATTAAATGAAAATCACATTAAGCTTTTGTGTGGATGCTTTTACTTAGCGTTAACATTGGCTTGATTTATTCTAGCTTGAATATTCAGTTTTGGATGAATTGAAGGTCACCTTACTGTGGACTGAGTATCCAGACAAAAATTTAGTGCTGTTTACTGATTCACATTAGGTAATTTAGGTGAATTTTTCAGCCTGTATCTGTGTGGATATGCTCCCAAACCTATGCATCGTATTTTTCCTGGTTATATACGTTTTTTTAAGACGATCTTGATACCTTTAGATTGGGTCAGGAACAAGGCCTGTCTTTATAAGAATACACCTTGGCCACACAAAAAATAATCCAGGATGTTGTCAGCTGAGTTGCAGGTAATGTCACCTGCATGATATCCTTTTTTTGCTGAACATATGTGCTCTCTTACTGTTGTTTGCAGGGCAATGTAGCCTTCGTAGTCTTACACAATTTTTTGGAATGGCAATTTGGCCTTTTCCATGCTGTGAATGTACGATATTTAGAAATGTCAGTTACATACAACCAGTAACATTTTTCTGTTATGTAACATAAAACCACAGTACTGAGACTAAGGTCTGTATTTATTATGGTTGAATTTTTACCATAATTAAAATGTAGCCAGAAGAAAAAAAAATTTATAAATATTTGCTTGGTTATTATGATGTTATCCCATCAACACAACATTATGCAAGAATTTGTCATGAGGAGGCTTTAAGCTTTTATATGTCTATAATATTTATGTATTTTTATTTATGTTTTTTATTTTTGTATATATCCTTTATATATATGCATATATAAATAAAAAATCCCAGGTACAAACCGTTTGCAGAATGTCATAGATGT